GGGGGAAGGGCTGCCCTTTTGTTCTATTCAGGCCATTGACTGATTGAATGAGGCCCGCCCACGTTAGGGAGGGCAATCTGCTTTACTCAGGCTACTGATTTAAATGTTAATCTCATTGGGGGCTTCCCTGGTGGCGCAGTGGTTAAGAATCCCCCTGCCAGTGCAGGGGACACAGGCTCGAGCCCTGGTCTGCGAAGATCCCACATGCCGCAGAGCAACTAAGCCCGTGCGCCACAACTGCTGAGCCTGTGCTCTAGAGCCCATGAGCCACAACTTCTGAGCCCGTGCGCCACAACTACTGGAGCCCAAGCGCCTAGAGCCTGTGCTCCACAGCAAGAGAAGCCACCGCAGTGAGAAGCCCGCTCACCGCAACTAGAGAAAGCCCGCATGCAGCAACGAATACCCAACGCAGGCAAAAATAAATAAACTAAATAAATTAATTAAAACAAAAACAGAAACAAAAAATGTTAATCTCATTAAAAAACCACCCAGGGCTTCCCTGGTGGCGCAGTTGTTGAGAGTCCGCCTGCCGATGCAGGGGACACGGGTTCGTGCCCCGGTCCGGGAAGATCCCACATGCCGCGGAGCGGCTGGGCCCGTGAGCCATGGCCACTGAGCCTGCGCGTCCGGAGCCTGTGCTCCGCAACGGGAGAGGCCACAACAGTGAGAGGCCCGCGTACTGCAAAAAACAAACAAACAAACAAACAAACAAAAAAAACCACCCAGAATTAATGTTTGCATAGATATCTAGGGGCCTGGAGAAGAGTTCTGGGCTCTAGGGTTAGGGAGGCCTCTGCTGCTGCGTGTCTGTTCCCTGAGGGGCAGGAGCTGTGGTTCTACCTCCAGGGCTGGAAGCGCAGTGAAGAGTAAGTTTATTCCTGTCACCTCCTTACATACCGTATAGTTTACTTATTTATTATGTTCATTGTCTGTCTCCCTCCCTAGAATAAAAGTTCCATGAAGGCAAGGACCTTTTTTTGTTCTTCTGTATTCCCAACACCTAGAACAGAGAATGGTACATAATGAGCGCTCAGTATTTGTTCAGTAAAGACTGAATGAATGAACAAATGAGGTAGGAAGCACCTGTTCCCATCATGCCCTCGTGCACTTGCTCCCCAGGCCTGACCTTCTCCCTGGGGGTCATGTTCTTGGCCTGGGGGGCCACAAATGCCGACTGACATGAAGTGGATGCTCGGTGTTTTGGGGTCTGAGGGCTCCTGGGGGACAGTCTAGACTGAGAGAGGTTATTTTGCCCACACATCAGGCCCTGACATTTAGACTGATCTAGTTGACTCCTGAGGTTCAACCCACTCTTTTGGAAAGAGAGTAGACAGCCCTCCTTTTCTTCCAGGGGCTGGGATCGTGTCCAAAGTCACTCCAGCCAGCGTGTCTGTGTTCTGCCATGTGCCCAGCCCCGGGATAAGCCCTTTATGTATATATCTCACTTTATATTCAAAACAGCCCCGTGGGGTACATTCTTAGATCACCATTGCTTTATGGAAGAGACCAGGGAAGCTATTCATTCATTCATTCATTCAACAAATCCTTATTGAGTGCCTGCATGTGCCAGTCCCTCAGCAACCCACCTAAGGTTGGTCACAGAGCTCCTAAGTGGCAGAGCAGGACCTGGACCAGGTAACGTGATGCCAGAGACCACACTGGCCACTCTGCTGTCCTGCATTACTGCTGGAACCTGTGGCATCCTGGTCCCACAGCAGCTTTCACTTAGATGTGAAAGGATGGGACCGGGACATTGAGCTTTCTCTCACCTTCTAGAAAATAGAGGAAACTATACAAGGGCTCAGGCAGTGATGGGAAGTGCCCCTGCCAGTCCTGTGGTATAGGTCTGCTGGGAAGAGATTTGATGGGTCTAGGGCCAACCACAGCTTCCCCTGCGCCTAGATTAGTCAGCCGCTGAGAGTTCCTGAGAGCAGCTCTCTTCCCAGGAAGGAGGTTGGGCAGTCCTTCCACTGGTGGGTGGCTGTATGCAGGAGCAGGGAAGTGTGGTCAGAGGCCTGGCTTTGCCCTCAGGTAATCCCCAGCTGGCCAGGGCCCTGGCTGTGGTCTGGGATTTTCTTTCATAAGAGCCAGCGTAGTGGGAGCGGCCCAGCCCTGACCTCAGACAATGCATAACCATATCAGCAAAGCTTGGGCTCTGGGGCGGCTGCAGTAGGGGAGCCTGCGGCAGTGCCCTTTCCTCTGGGTTCCTAGGCTGCCGCGGGTGGAGCAGTGGGCCTCCCACCGAAGTGCCACGGAACTGGCCTTCCCGCCTGTCCTCCCTGTGCATTGCTTGGAGGCGGGAGGTTAAGATGCAGACTTGAGCCAGGCTGCCGGGGTGGGAATCTCAGCTCCATCCATACTGGGCAGTGCAACTCTCTGTGCGCTATACAATGGGGTCAGGGGGAATAAACGTCTTCTGCAGTAAACACTATGTAAGAGTTATAGCTAATACACGTTTCTGTTTCAGACAGAAGTTGTCAACACCATGTGCGGCTACAGAACTATTGACAAGGAGGTAACAACGTCTTTGAAATCTCTTTCCTCCAGAAAGGTTGCCCTTCCTGTCCCATCTCCAGGGTGATCAGAGGGGCTACCAGGGGTGAGGCTCCTGGCTGCTGAGATTTCCCGACATTCCTGGCTGTGAAAAGGAGCCAGGGACTGCCCAGGTTTTCTGCCCTACCCAGAACAGGAGGACTCTGGGAGCCAAGAATCCCCCCAGGCTGGGAAAGGCTGGCTGCCTGGGTGTGCCGAGCACCTAACGTGTGAGGCCACCGAGGCCACCGTGCCGCTGCCAGTGCCCCCAGCATGTCCCTGTGCCTGGCCGTGCTCGGCACCAGCCTGCCTCTGCCCTTGGAGCTGCCCATTTGCAGACGACGCACACTGGCTTCCTTAGCCTGGGACCCAGGAGTCCCTTGGGGAAGAGAGCCTCTGGAAGGTCCCTCCTAGCTCAGCTTCCTGGGCATTTCTCCTGGACTTGGAGACAAGCTGGGGTGGTGCTGAGAAGGAAGCTAAAAATAGTGACGACTTGAGATGCCTCTGAGCAGTGATTCTCAAAGTGAGGTCCCCCGACCAGCAGCAACAGCAGCGCCTTCCGCCCCCGCCGACCCGGGAACTTCTTAGAAACGGGCATTCTTGGGGTGGTGCCAGCAGGTGATTCTGACACACATTTAACATGCAGAGCCACAGACCAGCAGTGGTTCTCCAGCCATCAAACCCAATGGCCAGTTTTTATATTAAACACTTGGTAATGCCCTATTTATTATTCCAAAGTGAAATCCACAGATAATATAACCTACCTACACACGTAATTCCAAAACCAGTAACGTAACGATTTGAGATAAAAGGAGAAATAAGATAAAACAATTTACAACCATATACCATATTTCAACATGTACATGCTCAGGCACTAGACAGAAAAAGCGAAGTGGTTGGGTGCTTACACTGCCAAGGGAGGGGTGTTGTGTGGACAACTTGCATTACCATGGGTGTATTTTTGCCATTGACATGGTTTTTCAAAATGGTGAACAATTCTTGATAAAGTTGCGAACAAAATAAAGTATAATTATTCCTTACTTTATCTAATATTCTTTCTACAGAATTCAGTGCATAGTAAAAACATGCAGAAAACACTTTGGTTTTTATGTCCCTGGAGTTAGGCTCTGGGCTCAGATTATTATGGATGGGTTTTCACCCATCCAGATGCCCAGGGGACATCTAAGAGGCAGGTAGTCTGGGAAGTTGTCCATGCAGTAGGATTGCCCTGAGCTCTACAGCCCCTCAGCCCCCAGCCCCGATCGCAGTGATAACCAGAAGTGCCGCCACAATGTCCACAGTGCTCTCTAGGGAGCGGTACCGCCTGCTGAGACCCAGTGATCTAGAGCCACCTTCTCATCACATTGCATACGAGAAACTGAGGCCCAGAGAGGCTGAGGGACTCGCCTGGACCTGGGGTGAGTGGCAGAGTTGGGACCAGGGCTCCCAGGCGAGTGCTCAGCCAGGCTCCTCCCCGGCAGCGCCTCAGCGTGCAGAATGTCATCTACGTGCGGGGCTGCACCAATGCCGTGCTCATCTGGTTCATGGACAACTACACCATCATGGCGGGCCTCCTGCTAGGCATCCTGCTCCCCCAGGTGTGCTGGTCTCCCCCCACCCCCCACCACCAGGGAGGGGAGCTAGAGGTGGGGATGGTGTGGGCAGGCTGTGGCTTCAGATGGTGTGTGGCTTGGTGATTGGAGTGCAGAGTAGGCACAAAGGGCTGGGGTGAAGAGGGCTCTTGGACCAGCCACCTGGGCTCACCCTGGGTGGGCTGGAGGGCTGGAAGGAGGGGGTGAATGGCCTAGAAAGTGAGTGATATAGCTGGGGGGAAATAGGAGTTGCAGAATGGAGGGTCTCTTGGATTTCCTGGCAGGCTCAGAGGAGGGCCCAGGCTGGGGCCATTGGGGTAGTGGGGGCTAGGGACTGCCGGAGAGGGCCACCCAGATGGCCAGCAGGCTCTCACCCGCCCTGCCCCTTCTCCTCAGTTCCTGGGGGTGCTGCTGACATTCCTGTACATCACCCGGGTGGAGGACATCATCACGGAGCACTCTGTCACCGATGGGCTCCTGGGACCCAGCACCAAACCCAGCGTGGAGGCAGCAGGCACGGGGTGCTGCATGTGCTACCCCAATTAGGGCCGTGGCCTGGGGCGGCAGCTCCAGAAGGACCGTGACAGGACAGCTCTGCGCAGACCACGTCGTGGGGGCCAGATAGGACTGTGGCCCCTCTCTCCACATTCGGCGCTGACCGAAGCCATGGCTGTGTTTGCTCAGGGCTCCCAGGCCTGTCTGGGGGGCGGAGGCCCTCCCCAGCTGCGGAATTCTGTGCATGCCCACACTGCTGGGCGTGGGGAACAGGGCACCCCTCCTCCAGGCTCCGGCTGCTGGGGAAGGGGGAGCTTGGCACTGGGCTCCAGACCCATTTCACTTCTGGTAGTGCCTTGGCCTTGGTGTTTGTGCCCCTTTGAGGGCAGTTTTGTAGTGAGTTGTAATCGGGGAGGGTGGAGAGCTTGTGTGCCCCGAGGTGAAGGAGCAGAGGGGTGGGGTGCAGGCCCCAGGCCTTCGGCCTCACCCTGAGGCCACGTTGGGCCCGTTTCTCAGCCTCCCGGGTACCTTGAGACTTCCTCAGGGCTGCTGCTTTGTTGACCCTGTTTTATACCTGATTTTATAACATTCATTTTGTACACAGTTAACAGGAGTTTCCGACTAATCAAAGCTAGCTGTTCGCCCCATTCCTCTTCCCCCTCCAAGCCAGTTTATTAATCAGACAATAAAGACGTGATTTTTTTTTTTTTTTCTGGTTTTTTGTTTGTGCTGTTTGGGTCGAGAGTGAGGAAGACCTCAAGTTGGGCTTGGAAACCCCTTGTTGGTGCAAAGATTGAAGGGGAGCCACCCTGAGACCAAGATTTGGGACAGTTTGGGACACTGAGGCCCAGGAGGATCAACCGAGGCTGCCTGTTCCCGGCTTGGAATGGCCTCTCTCACCCTTTGGTTTGTGGACTGGGCCTGGAGCCTCCTGTGCCCATCCTTCCTGCCAGGAATTCACTTGTGGGAAACC